ACCGATCGACACTAAAACGAGCCTAAAAACTATAAAATAAAGCACACAAAATACATAAAAATAAGCACAAAAACACAATAAACAGCCACACCTGGAAGGATTGAGTTATCATGAATATGGGGGATAAATGGGATTTAGTAGTCACGGGCTGTAGGAATATCCACCGTGCCACAATCATGTAATCCAAAATGGGGAATATCAGTATTCGTGATTCCATCTTACGGTGGAGATAACTGGAAAACCTGTTTGGAATTTGAATTTTGATACGGATAATGAAAACAAAGATATAAAACAAGATCTATGACTTAATAGTGATCTTTCACAAATTTCATTTTAATAAAAATGAAAAAAATTATAAGCTAGTTTAGCATGATGTTTTGACAAAGATTCGAACTGTTAGACTGATTCGAAATTGTACATAAAAAGAAACTCTAATATATAGAAAGACAATCAATGTGTCTGTTGCACAACATAATAATCGATAGCAAAAAGGGTACGATGGTTTCTCGAAGGGCTAGCGCGAAGATTGATGATTTCGAGATGGATGTTGTGATGAAGGATATTAACAATCCACATATTGCCTTGGATTGTTTCATTTATAGATTTTCTTTATTCATATAGTTGTTGGGTGTTTTTTTTTTTTTTTGGGTTTATGTTCTTCAAGAGTTGTACACTCATGAGCATGTGTTTGAAAATTGCATCAATAGACAGGAAAAAAAAAAGAAGAGATTGGTTATCTCTGTTACTTGCCAACATTAATAATTACTTTGATTTGGAGATTTGTGTGTGAAATTTCTGAGTTACATTAGTATGAGGATGCATTTTTTCAAAGAGTACTGTATAAAGTATAATGAGTCGGCTCGCCTAATATAATTGTGAGACTGATTCACATTTAATAAATATATAATAAATTAGGGAATATTAATTGATTTTGTGATTATTAGAATTAGAAAGAGGGGTGAGAGAGAATATATGAATGTGTGTGTTGCACAACATCATAATAATAATAATAATAATAATAATAATAATAATCAATAGCAAAACAGCATAAACCAACTAAAAGAGTAGTAGTAACTTAACTTAAACTGATGGGTGTAGTGTAAATTGTTATTTGAAACAAAAGCAAAAGAAAATATAAAAAGAAACAAGTAAAAGCAGCTGCCAGGCTTATAATTATTCAAAAAGTACTGAGGCACTCAAATTTGTTGTGATTATTAATTGTGATTATTAGCAGTAGTAGGGGCGAGAGTAACTGTATGCAGCTGGTATGGCCTGTGATCATCATCAAAATTTTGACGATGATGATGATGTTGTTGTTGTGGCAGGACATGAATATGTTGTACATCATCTTGACCATGTCGATCCGGGCGACTTATCCTGACCTCATACTTACCATGGTAAAGGGACTTTTGGAAGAAGCCATTCGAGTCTGTAGTTCCGGACATAGAATCATACGCATGCTTCAACTGATTAAGAAAGTTATCAACGACATTCCCTGTTTGCAGGTTGTTGAAATTACCGTCGGTAAGGCACATTTGGTAGCAGCCCTGCTGACTGAAAGCGGACCAGAACATGATCCCCTGCACGGCCGGGTTGGAATGAAGCTCGTCTATAATCTTGCTTAGATACGTTGCCTGGTTGTACCCCTGCGCGACATCCAGCTCCGTGACCCAAATGGTCGCCCCCTGGGCCGCAAGCGTCTCTATCGAAGCCTTAATGTAGGCAAGGTTGGGCTCTTGGTGTGCGAAATGGCCCTCCAGCCCGATACCTAAACCGGTTACTCCACTGGCCTTCAAACCCTGTATCTTCTGCGCGTAATTAGCCGGTGAGGATGCATAGTCTCCGGGTTCCTCGATTGTGTTGAAGTCGTTCATGAAAAGGGTCACCTGCCCGTCTAACTTGCGCGCCTTCTGGTAGAAATTAGTCGAAGCAGAGGGTCCCAACTTGTCTTCATAGAAGTGGGAGTGCAGATTCTCGTTCATCACGTCCCAATGGATCAACTTCCCCTGGTATCGACTCATCACCGATTCAGTCCTCCGGTTAGCCGCCCCCCACAGGGCCTCTCCAGAGAGTCCAGGGACCCAACTGGGCTGACACTTGGGGTCGTCCCACAAAATATTGTGGCCTCGCACAGAAATGCCGTGGTTTTGTGCAAACTGGAGCAAGGCGTCCGCCGCCGCGTAGTTCTCCACGCCCTGGGATTGCTCGGTGGAGTACCATTTCATCTCGTTTTCAAACACCGTGTACGAGAATCTTGATGTGAACCAGTCTTGGTAGGCCTGGTTTCCAAGGATGTTTTGGTTGATCGCGCAGCCCACAGGGATATTATGGTAGAGCTGGCTTATGCTCACTGTCGCATTCTCCACCGGAAATCCCTCATTGTCCAATACCTCGAATTTCACAATCTTTTTCCAGCTTCTTTCCACGTTTTGTTGTTGGTGAGATTTCCACTCTTCACGGGTGAACGATTGCAACGAAATGCTATCTGCCCAAATCTCAACGTCTGTATTTTCGGACTCGAAATAGAGATGGGCCGAGCCAGAGGCATTCACGTGTAACCCGCCTTTCATCATGCTCCAGCACCCGCTTACAGCCATGCCCCAACCCGCTTTTATGTAGTCCGCCCTTTTTGTTTTGAAAACCGCCGCCACGGGAGCCTTTTCATGGCTCGTTCGTACCCAAGCTACGTACGTACATTAATAAATACAAGACTTTAAGAATACTAATATTGTGATTACTGTTACATTCTTCACATATCAATTAATATTATTATTATTATTATTATTTTATCATTAATATATATCATTGATCAATTAATTATTTACCTGAGAAAGTGTAGATTTTTCCTTTCTGAAGATAGAACTTCTGCGAGAAACTATGATACGATTGTTTCCTCTCCGTGGCTACAATGTAACTGTTTAATCCATCCTCCTCAGAATAAGATATTCTGTGCTCCACTTTCGCTTCTCCGAATCGTCTCCACCCCTTTAGTCCTTGGTTGAATTCTGAGTTTACCACCATCCCTCCATTGTATAGAGGCTTTGGAGGAGTTGCCAAACACTCGGGATTAAACGACGAGTCGTAAGGAACCGAGTGCGCGAGGAGGAGGCATTCAAGGATATTAATGAGGAGGAGGAGGAGCAAATAGGATGATGATGATGATGATGATGCCATATTTAGTTGATTTTGTGTTTTTTAGCTAGACAATTTTATGTTTTGTGTGATGTTTCAAGCTAATGGTTTGGAGTATATATACGTGACAAAAACCACATTTTCTTTAGGCATGAAACATAAAAGAGACAATTTTGTATTATTTGTCAACAGTCCATTGACGTGGCCGATGTAATTCATGCCTCCATTGTTTATCTCACTTGCTTTGATTATGCTGATTGACGGGGAAATCATAAATATAATACTCCTAAATTAACAATAACGTGACAGAGTTTGTACAAACTAACCAAGGTGAATTAATTCATCATATCTATATATATATAATTACTAGTTAATAACATTTAATAAAACCTATTTAATTTTACCTATGTGGCAATTTAATCATTTTCCCTCCAAAAACCGTTACTTTTGATGTATTTAATCTTTCATTTAATTATTAAATAATTAACACATTAATCACTTTAAAATTACAAAATTCATTTAAACTTTTGATTACTGACAGTCGACTATATAATGTGTTGATAAACGGATTTGATCAACTTTTTATATCTGAACTTTAAGATTAATGCGGTAACGAGACGATTTTATTGAATAACCGGAGAGTACTTAAGAAAACATCAAGTCGGTTTTTAAGGACTTGAGGTCGGTTTTTTTACAGCACAATGATATTAAAACTGGCGATAGCCGAGGTGATTAATGCAGAATTTATGTGTCGGGAAAAAAGATCCTCGTATTGCCTTTATTGCTGCTATTTATAGTAACTGAGGGGGCTCATCTTTTGAGGAGATTCGGCGGCATTTAATGCGGAATGACGTTTGCGCAGCCTTTTTGTCAGTGGGCCCCCTTCACGCAATGATGTCTCCACATCGGCCTTAAACAATCGATGGACAAGCATTAAATGCTGCATGTCGGCTTCGACGTCGGCCTGCGCCCGAGGTTGCCTCGTTCTAGAGGTCGGCTCCCAGACAAGGTCGGCTTCCACAGGTCGGGCAGTATTTTCTCTGCACTCCTCGGCCAGGTCCCTTTACATTCTCGTCATCCACGTGTCGTCCATCCAACGCTTGAGTGAATTTTTGTGTCAACATAATGTGTTGACCGTATATATATATTTCAACTCATTTAATTGTAAATTTGGCCAGCAAAAAAGTGAAAGAAAAATAATTAATCATTATATGCATAGAAATACCTCACAATATTTTATTTACATATGTGCAAATGCACATGGTCGAATACTAGTTTGTACAAAAGGTGGTGAATTCAAATGAATTTAATATAGGTTGGTTACATAATAGATCGGTCTAACTATTAATTAATTCATTAAAATATGACATAGTTTTCAAATATAATATAAACAAAAGTATGACATTCAATAATATATATTTATTTTATTTAAATAGTATAAAGAGTCGTCAGGCCTAATACATAACTTCAATTTAGTACATATTAATTATTGACGATCGACCACTTACGGTTACGGATGGTATTTATGAGACGGTTAAACCTGGATTTACTGAAACGGTTAAATGTGTAATTGATGGGATAATAATAGGAAAATGAAAGGATTGACATTATATACAAGAAAAAACCACATAAAATATAGTGGAAAATTTAAAAGACACCGACATTGCCGATCCGAAAGGGAGGTCGACAAGGAGAGTGAGTTCTATGGATATATAATTTATAATATGAGAGTTTGATGTAGGAAAGCGTACGAGTGAGACGATAAATTGAGAACAGTCTCAAAATACCAAGAACAATATTATTTTTTATTCATTAATTAACTATCCATCAAAATCATGGGGTTGAACAATATATAATAATCCTAATCTTAGTCTCCTAAACTTGTCCAACAAGCTAGATAATTATTTACTTGTCCACTAAGCAAGTAATTATTCTTATTCTCTTACCAATTAACTATTAATCATAAAAGGAATAATAATAATAATAATAATAATAATAATAATAATAATAATAATAATAATAATAATAATAATAATAATATCCATTCTCTATCAGAGTTATACATGCCAGGATAGATCTTGCCATTTTTTTTGGTTGACCGATATGGCCGATTTATATACAAAAAAATGCAGTGGTATAATAAATGCTATAAGGACGACATTCGATAGTAAGTATGCGTTTTTATTCAAATTGATAAAGTTTGACCCCCCTAATTATGTAATTTCACATGTACAAGCTAGAATTTGTAATTTAGTAAATAGTCACTTCTTTTGTATATCTTTTTGCCTTGTGTTGTGCCATAAAAGAAGCAACCTTTTTACATTTTTTAAAATCAACTTTTGAATCTAACATTAAAGGTGGGGAGAATGATTTCAGAGTCCCAATTTTGCTTTGCTATCTACATTTACTCTTCTATATCTTTTCTTTTCTTTCCTTTTCTTTTTTCTTACTAGAGTCCAATTAGTTGTGAGTATCAATTTCATTGAAATATGTGTTTGTATAGATTTGGTGGGCACGAGGTAACCGAGCTACCCGACTCGGGTCGTTCTCAAAGGAAAGCTATTCGGAGCTTCGGTTACTACCTAGTCGTCAGAGTCACACAATCGAAAAGGTCCTAAACATTCTACTCGCAATTTGATGGTTTGAATTTAAACTAGATTAATCTACTAAATGAGAGCAATTGAAAGCAATTAACTAAGCACACAAGAAGATGAGAGAAATCAAGGGGGAAAGAGAGAGATTGGTTCATCGGAGTCATCATGATCAAAAGCACGCAAAAATCCAGTTCGCTAAAAACCCTAGAAAGTCAAACCAAACTCTAGCATGAATTGAGCAAGAATTCAACTCCTATCACACTTAGTCAAACATTCATGATCCAAAGCAACAATTTTTTCTTCCAAAATCTCAAGCACAACATCAATTTTACCAAAGCAAGAAAGATATACTAGGTAATGGAGCTTAACACTAAGTTACCCACTCTAATATGCACTCGGGAGAAGAAACGGAATCAAAAGTTTGAAACTTTGCTCAAAACAATGTCGCCGGAAAACTTGATTCATAAAGCTCCAAACCAAAATAAAAAATAAAAAGAAAAAGAAAATAGAGAGGATTTTCCCAACTTAAAAGTTTGGAAATGAGAGTTGTGTCCCAAAAATACAAAGCAAGATGTCTATATATAGCTACACCACAAACACACACTAAAATACACAAATTAAAATGGAACACACCCGAGCTAGCTGCGAAATTCGCGAGCACGCGAGCAGGGGCGCGCATGGGCGCGGACAAGTGTGCGTAGGTGCGGCACTCTCGAGGTCGCGACAAGATTCGCGAGGGCGCGGGTGTGCGAGCATCGGGCGTGCGCGGGTGTGCGGGTGCGGGCAGCAATGGACAACACTCTCGATCTCGCTGGGAGATCCGTGAGCGCGCGACGTGCGGGGGAGAACACTCTCGACCACGTGGAAATTTCCGCGAGCGCGCGGAGTTGGCGTGCGACGACACTCTCGACCACGCGGAGCTTCTCGCGATCTCGCGGCATTGGCGTGCGGGCGTGCAGGAGCGTGCTGGCGTGGGCGGCGCGCAGATAGCGTGCGTGTGCGGGCGCAGTGCGTGAGGATGCTCTCGAGGTCGCGAATCTCACTGTGTGGTCGCGAGTGCTTGGAAGGCAAGCGTGCGACTGGTGTGCGTTCGCTAGCTCGCGGGTCTCGGTTCGTGCTTGATTCTTCATTTCGCTCTATCTTCTCGCACCGAACTCCGATTCGCCCGAAACTTGGACCAAAATTCTTGTCTTTGAATGCTATTCCTCCGGGTATGGTTTGGTCGGAATTTCTAGATTGGACGGCTCAGTCGGCTCGGACAGCTCGTCTCCTCGTGCGCAATGAAATGGACCTAATCACCCAAAAATAAAGAGAAACGCGCAAAAATACGAACAAGCTATACAAGAGCAAGAATATACAAAACACGACAAAATGGACCGGTCGAGCCTAAAAACAGACCTAAGAACTACAAAATAAAATGCATAAAGCACAAGAAAATAAGGACAAAAACACAACAAACAACTCCCCCACACTTAAACCTTTGCTTGTCCTCAAGCAAACAAAACAACAAGTAGTGTTGAAAGGAGAGATCGAATGGTCCAAGATCAACAAACATGCATTATGTACTCTCCTAATCACTCGGTTGTTTGCAAAATAAAACTCAAACTCGAGAGCACGGTTCCCACATGTGAATCCAACAAAACAGAAACAAGTCCCAAGTTATTCAATCATGATTTACTCAATGAAAACTTCCTTCTACAATAAACACGTGCAAAAATCTCAAAACGGTCTACTCAATGTATAGGATAATAAAATCGAGACCATAAGCCAACCCCCATTTTTATTTTCGTTTTTCCCTTCTTTTTTTTAATGAGTCACTTTTTCCAAATAGAAGTCGTTAGGACGATTATTACCTAGGTTTAACCTCGGGGGTTATTCCCGAGTCGCCTAGGCCGGTTTTCCGTGCTCACTGACCCGATCTATCTAGAAGATTAACTGAGCCAAGAGGAGCCTAATCCTACCGACTCCCACGTGTTGGGACATATGAGGATCTCGATATGCACAAATCACGGACAAACATCCAACATAAACCTATGCGCAGCGGATCTAAAGGTTTGATGAAGAAAACTTACTGCTTAAAATTTATGTAGATCTGGCTGGCCCGAACAGTTGACCGCAAATCAAATCTTCTCGGAATCGAACAAACTTGACCAATCCAGAAAGCTGGCGTCACGGCGAAGTCAACGGCGTTGACCGATCGAAAATCGGACGGTTCACGCGCTCTCACGCCGCGAGTAAGCTCCGGCAGCTGCTCCCTTCCGGCAGCGCGTGCGGCGGCGGCTGGCGGCGATCTCGACGGCGATCTCTTCGTCTCGTTGTCCTTGTCTTCGTGGTATGGTCACTTGCTGGTTTTGGTCTCCGGTTTGGATGTATGATAGATCTGATTGGAATCCCGTATATAACTTAAGATCTTCTACTGTATTCTCAAACAGCTATCTAGATCTTGTA